ATAATTTGATAACAATTACTTTTAAAGTTGTTCTTTATCTGGTATTTATTCATGCTTTAGAGTCAAATAAATAATGTTAATGTTTTATCTATGATTAGTTAATAATTGCTACACGATTAAATATGTTATACTTCTTTATTCTTAAAAGATTTTCTACCTTTATATTTTTCTATCTCAAAAGATCTTTAAACTTTCTATTAAAAAGAATTTTTATTTTATTAATTTCTACCTTACTTATAACATCATATATATATTTACTTTTAGTCTACCATCACATTAGGGATAATTTGAAAAAATCAAAACAAAAGCGTTGAACCCATAAATCAAAAAAGAAAGATATTTTAGGACTGCATGAGTATTATTGCATATAATTAAATAAATATTATTATTATGTTACTCCCTCCGTCCATGTATGATCTTCCCATTACACGTTACGAGGCTTGACCGACTTTATTTTCAATTCAATTTAATTAATTATAGGAGTACAATTTTAAAATAAAATTTATATAGTAATAAACTACATGAAAAGTTCTACAAAACTAGAGGTGACAAAAATATACGGAGTATTATTTTATGAAATGACTAGTAAAATTGAGTAAACAAAGCGAGTAATGTTTGACCTTGTGAATAGTGTCTAGGAAGATCTATGGTGGACAGAGGGAGTATATAATTAAATAATACGAGAAATAATGTTATAATGGTAAAGTTCTTTTGACCTTATAAAAAAATAACCTGAGAATGAACTGGACATTTTGGGGCATCCATAGTGCTCTTCTGATAAAATTAATAGAGAAGGGGGGTACAAAGGGGGCTGGGGTGAAGGTTTTGTAACGCCATGCGACCCGGTCTATTAGAATTTATTAATTTAATTAATTTATTTACTAACTCAGACCGGACTCGGGAAAATAAAATCCTTAGAAAAATTATTTGAACACGTCATAATATTCGTTTTAACTGTCTGTTTCCGGAAACGCAAATGGATCTCAATTTGGATCAGTTCGGGGGGAAAGCACGTGCCGTTCGGGTTAGATTTTACACAATGGAATAGAATTTAGGGAGATAACTCCTCATTTAATCACCTCAATTCTCACGCCACCTTCACCCCCTTAACTCACCATCATCACTCACATTTAATCCTCCATTCATTTCTCTAATTTAAACCCCCCACTCTCCTCTTCATTTTCCCTATTCTTGTAACTCCCTTACACTCATCACATTCTTCCCTTCCACTTCTCTTGTTCGGCCAAGGCAACAAGCAGGCACAGGGTGGATTCCGGTGAGAAGACGGGAGGTAGAAGAGAAGGAAGATCACGCAGGAGGTTCATTCGTTCGTTGTCCATCGTCGTTCGTTCGTTAGCCGTTCATTCATCCGTTTCCGTATCGTCAATCCCTTCGTTTAGAGGTGTGTACGTTGCCCTCTAACTTTAGAATTCGTAGTATAATCGTATCGTTATATTCATAGGATTCCCTGGCTAAACATACGTGTGTCCGCATTATCATGGTTATTCGTTATCTAGACTTTTCGATTACAACCTTGTTAATATGAACGTTTGGTAATTCATAATTTCATAACTTATTCAAAGTGGAAACAATAAGGTTCGTCCCAATAACAGCAGAGCGTGACAATCGATTATCACATAACTATAATGGATTATCAGGCCCTGCAGATTCCAGAGCTGGCTCATCTGATAATCAATTATCACAGAAGCAATAATCGATTATGAGGCCTCTCTGAACTTAGGATTACCTGGATAGAACAGCTAGACAATCGATTGTCAGAGGGTGACAATCAATTATCACAGTATTCAAGACTTGGGAACAGAAGCTGTAATGCGTGATAATCGATTATCAGCGATGGGATAATCGATTATCAGCCAGTTCTGGACCCAGGTCATCATTTTGTACAAATCGTTTCACAAGGGATCAAACGTACATGTATGCTGAACTTCATTCATCAAAGCAATGCATTCATATCATCATGTATGTCTTAGGCACATGTTTAGGATCATGGCATACTTTGCATACCGCGACAAGAGGTCAGGCCCAGTGCGCCTCTTCTGCGGGCCCGTCCAGGAGCCTTCGGGATCCAACGGGTTTCGTCAGGAGGGATTGTGTACGTAGATGGTAGCTAGGCTTGGCTATCACCCACATTTCTAGTCTCCATCGGGATGACTAAGGAGTTCCTCGGCTCATCTATCGCGTGGGGATGATCACCGAAGGGCAGGGGGTCCCTGCGCAGTCTAACTCATGCATCATGATTATGTGGCATTGCATCTCTGTTATTCATGATCCATAACTTATCAAACGTGTATGTGGTATCTCGTACTTTAGTACAGGTGTGAATATGTTTATATCAATGTGAATATACTAAGTGTTCTATTGGGAGATATTGTTGTAAAGACACATTGCGGAGAATTACAAAGGATCAGTGAATTGAATCCGACGTACATGGGGTTGCAATACCCTCTATTATTTCCTTATGGAGAGGATGGTTATAGAGAGTATATACCTTATGCAAATGGTGTGTACCATGAACATGATGAGGAAGATGAAGAAGGATCTCGGAATGTTAGCATCAGGGAATTTTTGGCATATAAATTTCATGAAAGGGTATTGGAAAATCGATTCATCTTGCACTCCCGTAGACTATTCCAAGAGATTTGTGTGGATGGATTTACCATGGTTGAGGCATCTAGACTACGGTGGGTGTTCAACAATCAAACGAAATTGAGATGTGACATGTATAATCGATTGTCTGATTCCTTACTAAGTGGTGACAATGATGCATCTACAGTGGGTAGGAGAATTGTATTACCCCCTACATTTGTTGGAGGAGCGCGTTATATGATTCAAAATTATCAAGATGCTATGGCCATATGTAGGTGGACCGGTTATCCTGACCTGTTCTTAACATTTACATGTAATCCTAAATGGCCAGAGATTGATCGTTTTTTACTCTCTAGAAATCTCAAACCCGAAGATCGTCCTGATATCGTGTGCAGAGTGTTTAGTATGAAGTTGAATGCATCGATGCAGGATCTAAAGAAAAATCGTGTTTTTGGGATAGTGAGAGCAGGTAATTAGTTTGAAAATATTATGGTTACTTATTTGATTACATTTTGATTTTGAATAATAATAAATCTATATTAGTAATAATGATTTTTCTTTTAACCACTTCAGCTATATATACTGTGGAATACCAAAACCGAGGCTTGCCACATGCACATATTCTACTATTTTTGGGGCAGGGGGATAAATACCCCACACCGAGTGATATTGATCGCATTATAACAGCTGAGTTGCCGGATAAACAAATTGATTTGGTTTACTATAACGCTGTTTGTGATTATATGCTTCATGGTCCGTGTGGAAAAGAATCAAGTCGTGCTCCATGCATGGTTAGTGGAAGGTGCTCTAAGCACTTTCCAAAGATGTTTAATGAAGAGACATGCCTAAAGGAGTTACACACTAAAGGAGATCAAGTGTACAGACTCAAAAAGGTGTTATATGGACTCAAACAAGCACCAAGAGCTTGGTATGATACATTGTCTCAATTCCTTATAGACAATGGATTTACCAAAGGAGTCATTGACAAGACATTGTTCAAACTACAAGATGGAGAAGATCTCTTATTGGTCCAAATCTATGTGGACGACATCATATTTGGCTCAACTAAGGAAGCTTTTTGCACCAAGTTCTCCACCCTCATGCAAGGAAAATTTGAGATGAGCATGATGGGGGAACTCAACTACTTCCTTGGTCTTCAAATCAAACAGAGAAGTGAAGGGACTCTCATCAATCAAGCCAAGTACACAAGGGATCTTATCAAGAAATTCAAAGTTGATTAGAAGTAATCCGTTTCTGTCCCCATAAGCACATCCACCAAGCTTGATATGGATGTAGATGGAAAGGATGTTGATCAAACTCTCTACAGAGGAATAGTTGGATCTCTACTCTACCTTACTGCAAGCCGTCCAGATATCTCATATGCAGTAGGTGTTTGTGCCAGATTCCAGTCAAAGCCAAAGGAAAGTCATCTAATAGCAGCTAAAAGGATTCTTAGTTACCTCAAAGGAACTTAGAACATGGGTTTGTGGTATGCTAAGAGCAACTCATTTGAGTTAGTGGGATACTCAGATTCTGACTTTGCCGGATGCAAAGTTGACCGGAAAAGTACATCTGGTACTTGTCAATTCATTGGCGAAAATCTTGTTTCTTGGTTCAGTAAGAAACAAAACTCCATATCTACATCAACAGAAGAAGCAGAGTACATTGCAGCTAGTAGTTGTTGTGCTCAGATCTTGTGGCTAAAGCAACAACTACTGGATTATGGAGTCAAGACAAAGGAAGTGACAATCTTTTGTGACAATCAAAGTGCTATAGCCATCTCACAAAATCCAGTGCATCATTCTCGCACTAAGCACATTGATGTCAAGCATCCCTTCATCAGAGATCATGTGGAAAAAGAAAGATATCAAAATTGAGTATATCTCAACTGAAGAACAATTGGCGGATATCTTCACAAAACCACTAAGTGAAGCCAAGTTTTCCGGTTTGCTTCACAAAATTGGTCTAATTCAATTAGACTGAGTGCGGTACACGTGGCAGCCCACTTTCCACGTCTGCCAAATTAGTGGGTAGGCACGTGGTCTTGGGAACATTCAAAAACCCAATTGCCACTAGCCGCATAAATCGCCCAAATTAAACCCAATCGCCACTATAATCAGATATCAACTGCCCACTCAGCCCACTCAAATTTTTCGTCGTCTTCTTCACAAGAATTCTCTGATAGAATTCTCAAGAACCCTAATTTCTTCAGATTCTCTCACCCAAACCTCTGAGAAAATGAAGATTGTTGGCGCTAATGTCCATTTCCCGAAGTTGGAAGCCAAATGCTCTTCACCGGTGTTCTATCAAAGCTATCTGGAGATGATTGCTGCTCAAGAACTTACCGAATTTCTTCATATAGAGATTCACTCCAAATATGAAGATGAAGTTCTTGAATTCTACAGAAATGGAAAGGTCAAGACTGTCCAATCAAAGAAGGACCCACAGAGGACGATTCAAGTTATCAAGTCCACTGTTGGAGGAACCAAAGTGAAAATTTCTCAGAAGAAATTGAAGGAGAAGCTTCATCTTCCCAATTCTGGAAATGAAATTGGGAGACTTCCAGCCAAGAATCTGGATTGGAAGACTGTTGGGATTTCTAGGCAAGGTGAAGAAGTCAGTAAAGAGGAAGCAAGTGGTGTCCTCCTCCCCCAGTGCTGAAGCACCTCACACCCTTGCAGTGGTGAATTTGGAAGAAGAAGAAGAAGTTTCTACACAAGGAGAACTTCAAAGGAAAAAGAAAAGAAAAATCACTTCTCCCCCCACATCTGGAAATGTCAATCCAGATGAGTTGATGGGAAAAGAACCAGTTGAGGAAACTTCTGCCCACAACCAGAGCCCTAAACAACTTGATGAAGAACTTCCTCAAGTTCAGAGTTTTCCAACTCGTCAAACAGATGATGCTGAGAACCAATTCATGCAGCTCTACTTTGACTGGAGAGCTTGGAAGGTTGGAAACTCAGCAGAGCAGTTGTTAGAATGGGACCAACAACTGAAAAATGAGAAGATCATCAAGAAATGCTTGGGTCTGCCAGTCAACCACTACTCTAAGCAAATCCTGTGGAAAAGAAACTATGAAGATTTTCATCTGGAACACTTGGCGACCTCACCAGTTTCAAAATTTGAGGTTGACGATGAAGATCCTTCAGTCTACAGGCCAATCTTTTCAAAGGCCACAGAAGATCAGATGGTCCTCACCAGGAAGCCTCAGAGGAAGAACGTCTTCAAACCCTCCAATCACAAGTGCAAGAGATTCTCACAACTCCTTTTGAGATCTCCAATCAGCCTGAACTTGAGATTCTAGAGAAGTCAGAAGAAAATCTGGAGAAGTCCACTCCTCCAGAAACAAATGAAGTTCAAGAAGACCAAGCTATAGAAATCCAGAGGAGTTCTGCAGAAGCTGAAAAGGAAGCTCAAATGACTGGACTGGAGACCTCTGAAACTCCAGTTGCTATTTTTGAGCAGAACATTGAAGTTGAAGATAGAGATTCTCTTTCAAGGGACATCTCAAAATTCATGAATGAGACAGAGGAAGAATCAGAAAAGACGCTCAAGATTGATGATGAAGGAGCTGAGCAAGGAGATGCTGAATCCCTCTCTCTGCAACTCTTCCACAGAGCACCTTCTTCTCATCAGGTAACAAACTTCCACTTTCACAGCTCTTCCACCTCTACACTTCCAGATGAGGTACTGGAAACCTGGACAAGAAAGGTCCAAGGGTTGATTGAATCAGCCCTAGCGTCTCAGCATGCCTCCTTTAGGCAAGAGATAGAAAAGATGGAAGCCAGGCATAACAAGCTGATAGAGAAATCCGAAGAAAAACATTGCTCCAATCTCAAGGAGATAAGCAAATCGGTGGACAAAACTCTAGAGATCATTTCTCTATTGAGTAACTCTGTGAGCGACACAATGGAGGCGTATGCATCTGACTGTCATCTTCAACTCAAAGAGGTTAATAAAATTAAAGAGCAGATTGCAACAGTCACAGTGAGCCTACAGAAGCAAATGTCCTTTCTCCAGATGGACATTAGGTCAGCCCTGGCAGTGTCTTCAGCAAATCAGGTAGTAACTAAAGACTACTTGAAGGTTATTATTGAAAATCAGAAGGAAGCTTTCAGACTGTTCAGACATTTTGTCACCCCCACTGGCAATCGCAAGATGGAAGTAATTGTCCAACACAACAGTCCATCCCTGATTCCAGAGCTCCCAATTGAAGTCAAGCAAGGAGAACTTATCTACATTCCATCGCATCTGAACATGACTGATTTGATCCTTGAAGCTCAGCAGAGCAATCCGGAGAACTCAGCACATCATCTGTCTAGCTCAGGTCTAGATGGAACGGAAGCTGTAGGAACCATTGCCTCCCACTTCTCAAATGATGCCCACACAAAGGAGAGATACCACAACATCAGGCGCATCAAAGAACAGTGTGGAATCATGCAAGGCATTGGTGAGACTACCAGATCTTCTAAACGCAAGAAGCACTGAAGGCTCTTTTCATCAAACCAGGGGGAGGCATGTGAAAACAATATTTTGTTTTCATGAAAACACCTTCTTGTTTAAACATTGCTTGTTTTGGTTTAAACATTGCTCAACACTTCTCTTAATTATGCTTATTATGCTTGATCATATTCATTTTAAGTATGATTTTGAGAATTATCTTTAAAGCACATACATTCAGGGGGAACTTAACTGTTTTTGGCTAACAACTGTTTTTGGCAATGAATTATTGATGAGCTCTAAGCAATGGAAGACGGATATCTCAGTTTTAGTACTAAAGTTGGAAATCTCCGATTCAGGTACTTTACAAAATCTGCCTTCTTAAACTAAGATTTAATCTCTAATTCATTTCCAACTTTGCTCTAAAGTACTGGTCCTTAGGATTTTTATAATGTACAGGACTTTGGAAAAATAGTAATTACAATTTTTTTGGTACTACCTCGTCCTAATTAGAAAATAGAACTATAGGGAATGAAAAATGATAGTTTTATTTTGGGCTTTGAGAACCAAATAGGAATAATTTCCCTTTAGTACATAGATTTTTTTTTGGCCACTCTTTTGGGCTTAGCCAAACCAGAACAGTTACATTTTCAAACCAAACGAAACTGATTTTTAATTGGAACAGTTTCAACACATTGGTAACTGGTAAAAGATTCCTTCCACTTTTCAACTTCTTGGAAGTTGAAACTCTTTTACTCTCACCGTTCCAACTACCCACTTAATGGAACCCGTGAACCTACCCTCTCTCAAACTCTTCTTCTATTTAAACAAAGACATTCCAATCCATTCCTATCACAAACAACTCTCTCAATATGAAAAGTCTTCAAACTCACTGTCTGAGAAAAACACCAAGAAAAATATCCTCAATGGAGAAATTTTTCTTTCTCACCCTCATAGACGGCAATGGAGAAAGCCTAATGAGAAGAAAAGACATTCAAGGTCTATGGTGAGAATCTCGGCAGTAGAGAAGGGCTATGGTGGAAATCTCGTATTTTTCAGGATTACACCATACACCTTCTCTGGAAACAACACTCTCTCTATTTTTGTTTCTTCTAATTCTTTTAAAAATATTTTTTTCTTTTTCTCTTTTTTTGTTCTTCAAATTTTATTTTTCAAGCAGTCTCTGCACCCTTCTCCCAAGTATTTTTCAAAATTTTTGTGCAGTCTCTGCTCCCTTCTCACAAGCATTTTTCAAATTTTCTTTCTAAAATTTTATTTTTTTCCTTCATCTTTAAAAACCTTTATTTTATCTTTTTCACAATCAGTTCTCTTTTCCAAAACCTTTTTCTTGTCTTACTGTCTTTTTTTTCTTTTCTTCCACCGCCGCCTCTTTTCCCTCCACTTTCTTTTCTTTTTTTTGTTCTTGTTTTTGCTTTTTGGAGAGATGCGTTGCTTCCAAGATCTTGAATATCCACTTTGGATATTAAAGATCTATTAAACGCACCGCCATCTGCACTATCAAGCAAAATCTGCTGGAAGTGAAAGCGGCAAATGGTAGAAAATATCACAAATCTCAAGACAAGACTTGGTTTAGGAATTATTCTAATTTGAATTGTATTTGTTTAAGAGTTTTTGTTAACAAGCTGTATATTATGAGAAACTAAAAGAAAGTTATAAAATTAGTTCTCAGTACAGCGACCAAAACTCTTAAACACTTGTTTGTCATCATCAAAAAGGGGGAAATTGTTGGGAAAAATATTATAGATTTTGATGATTATGTATTTAGATTGTAATAGGGACTTTAGGTCTTCCCCAATATTCAATGTAATTTTTCTTTTTAGAAATATTGTTAAAACTGAGTTCTTGAGATTTCCAAAAAAATCGTGATATTTCTTTAAGTGGTTTGATGCTTGAAGACTTAATCAAATTTAGTGATATGGAAATTGGATATCTTGATCGGAAATGTTAGAGACAAATAAGGATTTCTCAAAACAGTTGAAAATCCACTAATCCGGAAGACTACATGATAACCAGATGTCTTGCTACAACCCGCTGAAGGCTAAGTCATTCAAATCGAAAGACTAGCCGGATCTCTTTCTCACCCGGAAGTTTGTAAATAACTCTTCCGGATTTGTCAGCAAAGAACCGGATGCCTCAAGAAAGACCGGAACTCTCAGAAGCGGACAAGTGAGAAAAGACTTAGAAAATTATCTAAGTCTTGAATGAAGAAATTCTATCCGTTGGTAAGGAAAAATCAATTTCTTGATTTTCATCGGCTAGATTGAAGATAATTAAGCTGATTCAAGAACAAATGACTTGAAGACAAAGTCTGGACCTCCCAAATTAAAGAGCTCATCCAGAATTCCTAAACAAGCACTAGAAGACAAACTGAGTAAAGAGCTACAGTCCAGAATTCTTGAACAACAGCTAGAAGACGGATTCTGTGGAAAAAGAAATCCCTCCTCAAACAAATTGGGTATGTCCAAACACCCATTCCTATGAGGAATCCTCAATCGCAATCTTCATTCAAAATTGAAGCCAGCAAATGCAACGGATAGTCTATTTTGATTCAACGGATAGATTATCCAATCCAGCTATAAATAGCAACCTTGGAGGACTGGAGAAATCAACGATGAGATAGAGAAGAACGAAGATACAAGAAAAGCAATCTCTAACAACAAAGCTATCTCATTCACAGTTACAAAAAAGCTTGATAAAGAGAGAATTCTAAACTCCTTATCCAGAAGCAAACTTCTCCTCCTTCCAAAGAGCTATAGTGTAAACACTTGAAGGTTTCCTTGCCTCAAGTACCACACCACGTTGAAGAATATAACTTTTAATCAAACTTCTTGATTAAAAGGGGGTACAACAACTTTCTTATAAGTTGATCTTGCAAGTCCTATTGTTCGGATCTTGCAGTTGTTGAAGAAGCGTGACCTTCGAAGGAGCAACAAAGCTAGAACGAGTGCAGTAGCAACATTGGCCTTGCGAAGATATACCGTGCAGAAATTCACACAAGTGTAATTGCTGGTTCATTATTCAACAACCAACTACATAGTGAATTTTGAGGACGTAGAAGTATTACCCCACCTTCGAACCTCGTTAAAGTTTGCGTGTCTCTCTCTTTTATCTTTACTATTACTTGCAATTATATTAATTGTGAAAACTAACCCATCCATATTGATTACTGCTCACTACCCACCAAATTCTGCACACAATCCAATGTTCACAAGAGCTCTAGATTAACACTTATTTTCACGTTTTCAAAAGAAACAAAAATGTTTTTAAATTTGCAACAAAGTCTATTCACCCCCCCTCTAGACTTTGTATCTCACCACTTTGGGACCACCACATTTGATTTTTTATGCACATAATGTTCAATTTGAATATTCACTTTTCAACATTCATTGTTCCATATTCAACATTCATTTTCAAATTCAACATTCAACATTCAAATTCAATATTCAACATTCGTATTCAACAATATCCTTATACTATTCTTAGTCTAAAGCCAATCTCTTTCATATTTATCAATCCTTAAATGAATTCTAGTTTTAGATATTTCTAATCAATTCTTAAACTATATTCTAGTCTAAGGTACTTTTATTCAATCCTTAAGTCTATCCAACTCTTAAGCTAGATCATTAGTTTAAGTACATAATTTTGATCGTCTTAAACTATCCTTTGCTTAAGGTACCATACACAAACGAGTGATCCTCAAGTTTGGTTTATGGACCCCGTACGTACGTTTTTACTCAAGGCCACCAAATATACATTTTATACCCGCAAGGCCCGTTTTAATCAGAGGTCTATCTTAGAGGTCTTCTAAGTAGCCTTAACAATACTATTCATTAATCCATTATTCTCAATTTAACAATTCATGATCATCATTCAAAACATTTGTCATCATTAATTCATCAAATTAACAATCAAACAATAATCATTAGGGGAGTTCGTCGGGTCAAACCCGTACCGGACCGGACCGGGACCGAATAAGAGGAACTTTGTGGACCGAGGACCGGACCGCTTAAGGTAAGGACCGGCCCGAGACCGGCCCGAATAAATGTAATTTTTTATTTTTTTTAAATTCGGTTTTATTTATTTAATTTAAAGTATTCAATTGTAAAAAAAATATTGCTACAATTAATTTTTCATGTGTAACATACACTAAACATGTTCAAACATTGATTTTTTATTTTTTTAAACTTTAAATAAAATATATATCCTCCATCCATACTACATTGATACGAATATCGTATCGGATATGGAAGAACTTCGAGCGTCTTCGGGCTCCAAGAAAGAGGAGGCAAAAAGAGGAGGAAAACTTCGAGTGTTTCCGGGCTTCAAGAAAAGAGAGACGAGAGATTAAGAGAATTTTTTATTATTGATTCATTCCATAATAATAATACGAGAGTACAATATATAAAGATACGAGAATCCCTAATTAACCTAATGGGCCTGGGCCCCATACTAAAAACCCTAATCTATAGAATATTAATAAATATTGATAAATAACTACTAAATAATTATATAGCTAATTGAAATATTCTAATAAACTATCTGTATCATTCACACCCCCTTAAAATCCACCTTGTCCTCAAGGTGGAGGCTCCCACTCGTGCTTTAGGACCAGAGAAAGAATGCTAAACCGAAGGAGTAGTCTACCCTTTGAATCTTTCACCATCTTGGATCTTGGAGCAAAGTGCTGGAAAGATGAGACGGGGCGCAGAACATATGTAGTTGCTCTTGGCGAAATCAGGTGCTCCGTCTTGATCACATCGACAAGTTCAAACAACGTGATAGTGTCAATCAACATAAGCGAGTGTGCTTGTTTACCATCTTCATCTGTCACTTTGTCAACACTTTTTAAAATATCATACTCTGCAATGACCACACCAGCTGAGGTAGAAAATTCCTGAAAAGTATGATCTAGCATGTCGACATAAGCAACCTCTTCTATAAGAGGATTTTCTTTTTTCCACAACGCTGGATCTCCCATTATCTTTGTTTATGGCGTCATGTCGGATGTCCACATCATCTCCACCTTGTGAGTCAACGCTTGGTTCCTTCTTGGATGCGTGATCATGTGCTTCAACATTTTGGTCAATTATTGTAGAGATCAGATTTGGCACAGAAGGTGGACTATCAATGAGAACTTTTAGAGCGCCCAACATGTGTAACACCCGCCTTCCATGGACCCGGTTCACCCGCGACCCCACGAACCGGTAGGGTTACATGGGCAGTCCGAGAACCGTCCG